ATTGCCATTGTCATAGTTCTTTTACTTGCATAGCCAACCTAGGAATTGAGCTAGTTGTAATGGTAAAAAGGATATAGCTCATTAAAATGGGAATTGATAAATCTTCTTATTTCTCCAAAAGCTGTCTCTTTTTATTTTCATATTTCAGTTGTCTTGTCCATGGCCTATAAATGGGTTATTTTCTGTTTGGCAGACTTCCCTGACCCCCTGCACACACCCCCCCCCCCACACACACACACACTCCTCCTTTTTTGCTTTGCTCACTGCCTCTGTGGGCTGACCATCATAGACAAATTTACCCTGGCCTCCAAGTCAGCTAGCTTCTGTTCTGTTTGGCCAATGGGAGACTGGAAAGCTGGAAGAGAGAGGGGAGTCAGGGTATTTCTTCCCCATTCCATCTATGCTCTATTCATGGTCTCTGGCAGTGGCTGCATCCCTCTAGGACTATAGCTTCTGTGTGGCTGCTCCTCCTCCTGGTCCTTGAGCTCTGGTGATACTGTTTCTTCTTCTTTCACTTTCAGGAATGAACTATAGGTGGTAACAACTTCCTGATACTGTGGGTTTCTGGGTGCCTCATCACCCATTGGTGGTTCCCTGAACTCTCTACAAACTTCATAAATAGTTTCTTCATTAAAATCTCTTGAAACATCTGTAGGTTCTGTTTTCTGCTGGAACCTGGATTTTAACACTTTATTAACTCTTAGGGCAAAAGAATAAGGGTCTTGAGTTGGACAATATCTACTTGTTGGCTCATGACCAGTTTTCAAGTTGAATTAATTGAATAACCTTAGCTTCCCTGTCATAGAAGAAGCCCAGAATCTGTTTGATATGTTGCCTTTATGTACTGTGGCAGAGACTGTTAACACTCATCCAATATCCATGGGTTGCAGTAGGTTGGGGACTTGTGATGGGATTCTGACCCATGGGAGGTAGGTGTCATTGATGTGTATCAGTGTCTGGGAGGGCCTTTTAAGATTTTCTATCTTCCCACTTATTCTTCCTTGACCAGAGCAACCTCGCAGGTCAATGTTCAGGTGGTCCAGCTACAAGATGGAAGAGGGATGCTCAATATGTTATAGACTTTGCATGACTGACAAGCATACCTTTATGGGCTTAGTCACAGATTTTGGGGTTATATTTGTTACTTCAGCACTTATTAGCCTATTTTGCCATACATGTACCATGCAGATTTATTAATCCCTAATATCTTATGTTTTTTAGGGCCTAAATTAGCAATAAAAAACACCCAACCTCTTACTCCTTCTCCCTGACACCAGGATCATAGTAGACATTGTGGCCAAGCAGGGCACTCTTCAAGGTGAGCCCAGAGTGTCTTCTGAATCATTATCTACACAGGACTCGAAGCTGACACTGGCAACCAATAGACAACACCTAATTCTAGTCCAGTGATGGCAAACCTTTTGAGCTCGGCTTGTCAGCATTTTGAAAAACCCTAACTTAACTCTGGTGCCGTGTCACATATAGAAATTTTTTGATATTTGCAACCATAGTAAAACAAAGATTTATATTTTTGATATTTATTTTATATATTTAAATGCCATTTAACAAAGAAAAATCAACCAAAAAAATGAGTTCGCGTGTCACCTCTGACACGCGTGTCATAGGTTTGCTATCACTGTTCTAGTCCCTATTCTACAGGGTAAGCCTTTCTGTGTGCTAGGTCCAACCACTTACTAAAATGTAATTTGACAATTTTTTGTTGTTTATTTTTGTAACGGGAAACAGCATTTTTATGGTTCATCCATTTTAATTCAAGTTGTTGGTAAATTTTTGAGTGCCACTTCTAAAATATTCATAAATAGATCCCTTATTCTAGGATTAAATAGCAAACCATAAGGAAATGCCCTTTAGAAAAGTTAAAAATATTCCACATAAAACACATTTTAGTAAATTTTCGTTCCTGATATAAATCTGGATATGGAAACAGTTTTGTTTTTTCATTTATAGAACTCCTTAGTCCCACTATAAAAACAACTTAAAATTAAAAAGGCTGGCTTGCAATTCACAAAATCTCTTGTGAACTCAAGTGAGAAGAAAATGAGTAAAGAACTTAGAAAGAATCTCAGGATACAAATACTCTTTAAGTCTAGTCTTGCCTTTGTACTTGATATAGGTACAGTAGGGATTATAGTTCTTTTGTTTTAAAAATATATATATTTTATTGATTTTTTACAGAGAGGAAGGGAGAGAGATAGAGCGTTAGAAACATCGATGAGAGAGAAACATCGATTAGCTGCCTCCTGCACATCTCCTACTGGGGATGTGCCCGCAACCCAGGTACATGCCCTTGACCGGAATTGAACCCGGGACCCTTCAGTCCACAGGCCGACGCTCTGTCCACTGAGCCAAACCGGTTTCGGCTAGGGATTGTAGTTCTTAATTATTTCTAGGACTAATTGAACTTGCCCTTAGAATACATTTTCAGAAGATAGGTCCACTTTCTATAATAACAGAAATACTAAAGGATTCTCTAATTTTGTGGTGTTCCTTAGTTACCCTTTTTTTTAGTATTAAAAATATCTTTTATAGTACTTAAAATTTATTCTTATTTCATTTTTTTAGTATTATAACAAGGGAAAAGTTGACCGACCTTAGGATGATCATGATCAATAGAATCTTTAGAGCAGAGACTGGCATAATTTTGTGGAGTGTTTGGAAGGGCAGAGATGTGGCTCTGGGCTGCCCTCATCAACCAGACTGTTTTGTTTCACTTATTTGATATTCATAAGTTCACTGACCCTAATGGGTTATGCAGCTTGCTTGTATTATAGACAAAAGTTAAAATTATCTTAGTCAAGGTTTCCTTGAGTTTCAGAGTTCATCTGTTTAATACCCACAAAAATGACAGTACATCTGGTCATTTGAAGTTCCAGCCTTTGAAAGAATTTATTGTAAGCATGGAACTTGTCTTTAAGGACCCCACACTGAACATGTGTTCAAGAATGAAGACAAAAAAAAAAAAGGATGAAGACTAGACTATCTTGGATAATCTTCAGACACTAGAAAACAAAATCAAAGAAACTATATTTGATTATCTTGTCACTCAAGAGTTCCTGTTCAGGCATTCCCTTTGCATCACTTTCTCCTGATAACAAACTAGATTTGGAATTGTGCCCCATCTATAGATTCTGATCACTCTTGTCATCTGATATCACTGATGAATCACTTTGCTTTTTGCTGTAATTTTCTTCCAGGTTTCTTCCCACTTGACATCTACACCCACACACTTTTACCCTTCTCTGCCATAGTCTGTGCCACTGGTTGCCTTCTTACTGAGGTTTTCTAATCTTCAACCAGACACATACATTATGTTTGAATAGATCACAGTGCCTGGTAAAATCCAGAAAGTTAGTAGGAGTTCAAGTATGGAATCACATAATCCTAAGTTCCTAATAGCAAAAATGTGGCCTTCACCGACCCTGAGTGCAAGATATCATTTCATAAGAACTAACTATTCCAGCCTAGGATGAGTCAGGATGAGACATTAAAAGTAAATTATTGTTTTTGTTTACCCTTCCCAACTGGTTTCTCCATCCTTGATCTGTGATGGACATAGCTATTAAAAGTGATTTCCTATCACATGATCTCACTCATATGTGGAATCTAATGAACACAATAAATTAATGAACAAAATAGGTCCAGAGACATAGAAGCATGGCACAGACTGTGGAATCTCAGAGGGAAGGTGGAGGTGGATGGGTGGGTGGGAAGAGATCAACTAGAGAGCTTGTATGCATATATGCATAACCTACGGACACAGACAATAGGGTGGTGAAGGCCTGGGGCAGGAGAAGAGGGAGGGCAAGAAGCGGTCACTGGGGGAAAAAGGAGGACATATGTAATATTTTAAACAATAAAAATTGGATTTTTAAAGAAAGGTAATTTCCCCAGGTTCATGGATTAGCTATCATTCCTTATTAGGAACTTCACAGTCATTTGTGGGTGAAGACTGGCCTCTTGCAGCAATGATTTCAGTTAACATTTAGATTGACTCAACTATCATATCCTGGTGTCACCACTTTGCTACCTAACTCTGTGACTTCCTTAAGTTTCTGAATATCTCTATGCCTTAATTTCCTCATTTACAACATTTGGGATGATACCAGTTTTAATACTTAGGACTGTCATGAGGGTTAAGTGAGATAACCTGTATGACACACTGAGCATAGCGCCTGGTACGTAGTGGGCATCAATAAAAGTTAGCTATTGTTAGTAGAAGTTGGTAGAGTTGAAAAACTTTCTTAAAATACATCAGTGGACCCCTCAGGCCAGATCTCTAGACAGAATATCCAGATCTTGTAACCACAGCTGCTTAATTCAACTCCAGAAGTAAAACAGCTGTCCAATAGCTCTCTGAGACACTGGAGAAATGGGGGTAGTCATTATCAGCTACACGTTTCCTCCCACTTAAGAAAAGAAGAAAAATTAGAAACCAGTGTTTCAAAATCATTACGATGTAGCACAATGAGTTATTATTTTGGAAACGATGGGTTTATCACCTACGAAAACCATTCTGCCTCTTTCTTGGCTTATTGCAAAGGGAGGATGTGCCCACTTGACTATTTACTTATTGCTCCCACCCTTCATGCATGAATTGCCTAGAATCCGCCCTCCGAAACTTCCCGGATCCCTCCGAGTTACACAGGCTAGAGGAGAACATTTTTTCATGCTGAATAAGATGGAGAAAAGATCAATGACTGTCACATGGCAGATCCTCTTTTGGAGCTCTCCCGTGCTCTGTGTATTTTTAGTGATAGTATTAAAAATGGGATTTCATGTTTAGCTTCTGGTCTCTGTTGCCTTTGTATTTAATTCTTCTCTATTGGATAATTGGTTACCCCGTATCCTGTATGGGAGGCTAGCGTGCCCTTTCTCAATCTGCTGCTGGGGGGCGGGGGGATGGAGTAGTGAGGAAAGCTTGGGTGTTGGGATGTTGAACTGGCAAACCTGGGTCCAACATTTTGTTTTAACCCTTATAGGCTGTGTGACTTTAAGTAACTGACAACTCCTTGAAGCATCAGTTTCCTCATATACGAAGGTAGGTACTTCCTATTCTTTTGGGAAATTAGATGTCATGTATGTGGTATATTATATAAATAATTATTGCTCAATAAATATTAATTTCCTTTGCTTTCCTCCATGTAAACATTATTCTCCTTGTCTCTCGCTACTTCTAGAGCCTAGGGAATCCCAGAGAATCCTTTTTATGTGCTTTTTGTCATCACTGGTAGATGAACTAGAGGTTAAAAAAAAAAGAGCAACAACTAATGAGCCTCATTCATTTGTACCCTCCATCTAATTCTGGATGCCAGTGACATTGTATGAGATATGACCAGTTCTTGGAATTCCACTCCTCCACCCTTCGGACATTTACAATTCTATTGCATGTGGCGTGTGTGTGTGCGTGTCCAAATAGGAGCTCATTCACTGTGTCCTGTGTGGAGGCTTAATTCAAAAGAAAGAAGGTTAGACTTTGCCATCCAGTCACAAAGGCACACATACAGGGGATGATGGAAGAACGTCTACAAAGCATCAGACAAATAAGGACAAATTACTTAATACAAATCAAGCTTCACATAAGTGCTTTAAGGTATTTAGAGTAGGAGACATTAGCATTGATTCAGTGACATTTATTGAGCAGTTTTTATGTAGCTGGCACTGTGCTTGGAGCAGGAGATTAAAATAAAAATGAATAAGACATGGTCTATGCTCTCATAAAACTCTTCGTCTGTTGAGAGAGGCAGGCATATAACCAAATAAACAGGGCAGGCACACTCAGGAGCACTAATATGACACACAGAAAAAAAGTGGTCTCTGAGCTACTGTTCAAAGGACAGTAAGGTTTGGTTAGGCCAGGGACGGCAAGCTCCAACTCCTAGAGCAACAGGAACAAAATGTAAATGCAAAACACAAAACAGCAATTCAGTATAAGACATTCAATGTTCTTGGCACTTTATTTGTATTAACTCATTGAATTTTCACGATTGTTATTATTATTATCATTATCTCTCTTTTACTGTTGAGGAAACTGAGGCACAAGAAAATTGAGCAACTGGTCTAAGGTCACGTCGCCCTGAAGTAGCATGGCCAGGACTCAAACATACACAGTCTAGATCTGGTGTCCACGGTATTCATTACACTTTCTGCTTTTCCATTAAAAAAAAAAAAACAATCGTGTAAGTGTTATGCAGCCTCAGTGTTCAAGAGATATTAGGGAGTGATGGAGACTCCAACCAATTTTTCTTTTTTCAGAAATAATAGCTAGATAGTCCTTTTTCCCCCTAGAGGAGCCAGAAATCAAACTCCCCTCAAACCTCTCTTAATTATTCAAAATTTTCACTGTTGGAAAATAATTTAATTTAAAAATGAAGCCTTCTATGGACCAAACAAAACATGACCATAAGCTGAAAATAGCTCACCTACCACCAGGTTGACACCTCTAGATTAGGCAGACAAAGAAGGTAGGGAGGATAATTATATGCAAAGAGAACAGGTTACACAAGGCACGAAAGACATCATGAACAATGTGGGCGCCTAGAATAGAACACCAAGAACGCATGCGGCTGGTAAGGCCTTGGTACACATAGTAAGGCGACTATTGTACCCAATTTGCAAAAGGATGCCGGTGAAGAATTTGATTCCTGTGGCATTGTTCAAGTTCAAGGTGGGTTAATCAAGGAAGGGTGACAGCACACCCCTCTAACCTTGTTTCTCCCTTAGCTTCACCTGGCATCAAATGTTCCAGTCACCCTATCTGCAGCTCCTAAGAGCACAAGAAGGACCCACTTTTCTCTGACTTTGTTCACTTCTGCCTGGAATATTCTCCATCCAGCTGGAGAACAAATACTCACCTAGGAAGGTTTAACTCAAAGGGGTTATTCTTTCTAAAGCTTGTCCTGATTTTCCTGGTCTCTGTCCCCTTGCTGCTTCCCAATCCAAATGTGCAGAATTGACCACTCCCTCCTTTGAGCCTTCACTGTGTATTTAGTACTGTGTGTTTAGTACTGTGTGTTTGTCATGGCACCTGCAACATTTTATTGTACTTCTTTTCTGATAGATCTGTGTCCCTTACTAGTGTAAGGTACTAATGTAAAATACTTTCAGGCCGAGGAATATCTTATTATTGTCTGTATTTCTAGAGTATATCCACAGTGTTGGATATGTAATAGACACCAGAATGTTTGACGAATGGATAAATACTTTCTGAGATTATGGAGTACTAAAGTGGATTTTGAACACAGCAAAGGTTCTGAATGTATCATCTCTTAAATATAAAATGTAACAACATACAGTGGATTTTGATCTGAGGGGATGTTTTGGTTATTTTATATTACCTTTTGGGTTCAAACATTCATTCTGTTTCTCTTTCAACATATCAACAAATCTCACAAAACATTCTTTTTCAAAGTTGCCTCTGTGAGATAGCTATTGCTGTATAACAAAGCACCCCCACATTCAGTGCTTGAAACAACAGCAACCATTAGTGCTCATGAGTCAGCTGTGTTGTCCCATTGATTTGGGCGGGGCTCAGCTGGGCTCATTCATACAGCTGTGGGCAGCTGGACTCCATCTGTCTCGGTGCCAGATCCTCCTGACCTCATTAGCTTTATGGTCTCATTGCATTCATAATTCTATTACTAAAAATATGAATCATAGACTAGGACCACCTATGGCAATGACTATTATTTCCTCAAAAGGTGGATCATTTTTTTATGCTTTGATTTATTCATCAAACAAATAGTAGTACAAGGCCAACTCTGTGCCAGACATTGTGTATATTACGAGGAATAGAGAACTAATGCAAGATAAAGTCCCTGACCTAGAGAAGACAGAGTCAAGTGAGGGAGAAAATGTGCAATATAGAAATTATAGTCCCAGAGTGAACGATAGAAGTATAACAATAGAGGAGTTATGAGGTGTAGAGGAGGCAGTGATTACCTATGTCGGGGAGGAGGTTAGTGGCAGAGCAGGTGAGAAAAGGCTTCTTAGAGGATGGGATGACTGAACTCTTATCTGGATATGCAATTACTTAGTAGTTGTGTGTAGATACCTCGGCCAGGATTATTAAGATTAGTTGCATGTAATATACCTTTAAAGTATTGATCTTTCCTAGGTATAATATTAGTTTGTTATTTGAATTATGGAAATGATAAGCCAGCATGCTTTCCTCTGCTAGCCATTTCTCAGTGCCTGGCAGTATAGAGCAGTGCTTAAGAGTGTGGGACCTAGACCCAGATTGTCTGCGTTTGAATCTCAGCTCCAGTCTTTATTAATTGTGCCTCAGTTTTCTCTCCTGTAAAATGGGGGTGGCAGATTGAAGATTCAATGCATTAATACCTCTAAGGATAGGGATTTAACACATAGTAACTGCTCATTAATTGTTAGTTATTTTAAAGGACTTTCCCCAGATTTTTTCTCTTTTCTCCTTCATAAGGTGCAGATAAAAATTGACCAACCTGATAGAGTTGTTGTGATGATTTAATGAAATTAAATATATGGACATCACTTCGAATAGTGCCTAGCACATTGAAAGTACATTGTATGTGTTCATTATTGTTATTCTGTTTGTATCATGTATAACTATTAAAAGAATTGAAGTCATCTATTCTTAGTTTCTGGGGGTTCAAAAACACTTCCTTCTTATTATATAGTCTTCTCTGTCACCAGGCAGTGACCATAATTTACTTATGTACTTTCCTTTGGAAGCATGGTGGATGGTGGGAGGGTTAAGATATCCTGAGAAAAACTCCAAGGCAGTGTTTGGTTGGTGAGGGCTTTACATGATTCTGACGTAGCCCTGTGCCAGGAAAACAGGTCCTCAGGTAGACCTCTTATGACACACCTGCACACACATCCTCTCCCCTGCGGATGGGCACATCCCGCGATGGCCCCCACTGCATCTTCTTGTACCACTTGCCTTTTGATTATGCAGAGAAGTAGCTGATCCCAAGATTGTAGTGTTTACTGTCTCCGACAGGAGACAGCAGTCGGGTAGAAAGATGCTAACAAAAGTAATCAATAGAGCAAAGAAAGATGAACCGCTGAAAAGAATATAATGAGATGGTAGAAGTCACCTCAAATATATTGTGGTTACATAATTATAGAATTTTTCTGGCTAAATGTAAAGTTAGTTGAATAATAGGTAGAACATTTACAAACAATATCTGGCACATCATGAAAACTGACTAACTCTTAGATGAACGGAAGAAGGAATGAATAAACAATAAGGTTATGGAAATGCTTACTAACATTGATTACATGCTATCAAAGAAACCCAATTATGCTTTGATTATTCTACTAAGAGTGAAGAGATTTTTCAGCACTGTGGAATATCTGTCAGAGTTGTTTCCCTAAATACTTCATGAATTTTATAATGTTGTGGTGGCCTGATGGAATTTGTAATTTGAAGACCATAGACATGGGACAAAGGGAGCAGGCTGAAATCATATTCTTGAATTAAGAATCTGAGCATTACGTATGCAAGGTCTAATAGAATTGAAATGTCAATCCATGGCAAAGCCTTGCAGAGTCATTTGTCACTGTGTTTGATTATGCTACAAGGCCTTAGATTCGAAGGCTCTGCAGTAGAAAGAGTACTGGGTTCATGCCCAGCATGTATCAGGGATGCTATTCACACAGACTACAATATGGATGGTCTTCATGGAATCATGCAGAAAGGTGGCTTTGCTTGGATTCATATCCTTGCTTTCCTACCTACTAGCTGTGTGACATGAAGCTTCCTCTTTATTTTATTTTTAATATATTTTATTGATTTTTTACAGAGAGGAAAGGAGAGGGATAGAGAGTTAGAAACATCAATGAGAGAGAAACATTGATCAGCTGCCTCCTGCACACTCCCTACTGGAGATGTGCCCGCAACCAAGGTACATGCCCTTGACCAGAATTGAACCCGGGACCCTTGACTCCTCAGGCCGATGCTCTATCCACTGAGCCAAACTGGCCAGGGCTGAAGCTTCCTCTTTAGTATGAGCACTAAATTAGAAGTCACCGTGGTATGCACTGTGTCTAGAATAGTGT